ATTACAATAATTGGGATGATATTAATTTTGCTAATGTTTGAATAAATAATAAAGTTTTATTTTTGAATTAATAAAATATGTATTTGATAAATAAATATTGTAACAGTATATTAATCACATGATTTATTTAATTTTACGACTATTTTCTGACTAAAAAAAAACCCCCTATTTAAACCACCCGGATCTTTTACAAAATTTCGACCCAAAACCTTAGAAGGGTATTTTGCATGGGGGGGTGGTTTAGTCAGCACTCTACGGTAGTTTCGATAGGAGAAGTTGGATAAACTTCAGTGTTATTATCATTGTTATCTGGAATCTGGGTAGTATTTTGCTTTTTAGTTTGTTGTTTATCAGTAACTGGCGACGCTGAGCGACCGCGGTTGGTATTCTTTCATTCATTTTTCCTAGGCATTTTGGTAATTTGTTGGAAAGAGAGAAAGAGTTTTTTTGGGGAGAATTGTATGAAACTATCTCATCCCGATTGTTTACTAATGTTAACTTACCCTGTGGAATGCTTTCTATATCAATATTATACTTTAATAAAATGTTATATGAGGAATTTTCGATCTCCTCAGCAAAGTCTGCGAGAACTGTTACCAGGCCTCCCTACATCTGTAACGTTCAAGCTTTTTGTTCAGTTAGCTTGAAAAAAGATTGACCATTAATTTCCTCTTTGCGTAGAATTTTAAAATGAGCTTCGTTTAGTTGTAAATCTTTTGCCCTTCTTAAGTTATGAGTTCTTCTGTTTTATACTTATTGATTACATCAAAAAGATCACGAATAAAGATGGTCACCGCAATTAAAAAAAATGACGCAATTGAGTTGCAACTTGTGGCGCAATTAAATTTCCTTATGGCGCAATTAAGTTGCAACTTAATTGAAATTTGAAAATAATTATGGGGACCATCTTTAATCACGAATATCCCGATCTTTACAGTCTCGTTCATAGTCATGAATGTCCCGATCTCTTTCACGGTCTCGTTCACAGTCAAGAACGTCCTGATCTCTTTCACGGTCATGATCACGGTCGCGATCACGGTCACTAATGTGCAAGCTGATTAGAGATTCTAGCAAGCAATTCAGGTTGTGAAGGTTGGTCATATCCATAATTTGCTTGACGGTATCTTCATCCGTTTCGTCCGCCCAACGATGGGTCGCATGAATACTAACTTCAAGTGTTTCGTCATTAATAGGGCGTTAATTTCTTCATCTTTCTAAAGTAATAATGCAATATCTTGTATACACAAATATCAAATGAGATATTCTCTAACCTTACAAAAGGCATCTTTAAATTTCCTCCATTCATAATCACTAAATTCACTCCGCAAAATGTCATTTTTGTGACATTCGGGAAGGAATATAACACTGTACCGTGCGATTCCTTTATCAATCTCGGAAAGCATTTTAGCTGTAACTTCGTCTACGACACAGGTGGTAGCCCATCATCTGACATACTTCCATCAGTATCGCGTATATCGTAATCTTTCTTGTTTCGCTTTGAGTTCGTGAAAAAGGTCAAAAACAATTTCACAAAATGCATACTGAATCTGAGTGCTTTGTAACCTTACCTTTTTCGGCATTGAGGAAGTCACATGTTCATTGTATTGTGAAATAGTCCGCTTACGTCTCACAGAGATACTCCCATTGCTGATGTTCTCAATCTTGTGAGAATCTCCATATTAGCCGAGTACAGTCCTTCTCCGACTCCCACTTTAGGTAACGTTCACGATCCGGTCGAGAACCCTCGCAATTAAAATTTGGAAATTAATATTTTTAAAGTTTACAACTGGCTATCCCTGATTTGCCCGACTTTTCCCGTCAGGTCGAGTTTAAATCTTGAACGTCAGACAAAGTTGAAATTCACCTGAGCCCCAACACTAACTTTGTGGCTCGCGTTAAAAGCTTGAATGACAGAAACGTTAAAAGCTCCTGCCACACCAATTGTTTGTCTATTTAATCAAAAAGTTCTTAAAACATACCTACCTATAGTTTTTAAGTAGACTGACTTGTCTTTGGTTACCTTCTTCAGTCTTAATGATTGTTTCGAGGGACGTAAGATAAAAACCTACTCTCTGACTTATAGGTTCCTGATCACATTCATTAGGAAATCCAATCTGAAGGTTTTCTTTTGAAGGATTCGTTAACGTAAGGCCGACTTAATATGTGCTAGTCCAAAGGAATATGTGGCGCAATCACTTATGTTATGAGCGATTTTATAATATTAATTTTGATTGGTACAAAATTGATCAGTTTTTGGGACGTCAATGCGTTTTAGCCAAAAAAAAAAAAAAAATCCCCTTCTGTTATATATTCATGAGACACAACTTATGGAACAATCTGAAAAGTTTAAATTGGTTGTTCGATCCTTAGGTAAGTGATGTTATTAATAAGGGTTTTACTTTTATAAATTGGAAAAGAAAAAAAAAGGGATTAAAGGAATTATTTTATTTATTTTTTTTTGAAATAGATTACATTCACACTCTCATTCTCATACTGAGGAAGAACTCACCGCGAAACTTGCCTTAATATTAGGCATGATTACCGTTTTATATCAAAAAAATTATATTATGTTATGTTTATTATTCTTAGAATAATAAACTTGTCAGAGATTGTGGGTCATTAATCTAGAATTATTAATTATTTTATTATTTTAATATGAAGAATACCTCCAAGACACAGATCTGGAAAGATTTATCTTCCTTCAAGAAAAAATGTAACTCAAACCAGTAGTAAACAATTAGTTAATTTTTAGAATTGAGCAAAATAATTATTTATATTGCTCTTATAAGATTAGGTAACTCAATTGTGGGCAACATTTTTCGTCGACAAGAACGTTAAATTATCGTTCCCGACGACCTGTAAAATTAATAAAATTTAAAATTCCGTTAATTTGAACCTACTCGTCGCTAAAACGCTAATTTAACATTCTCGTCGGCGGAAAAACGTCAAATTTATTTCATTTTGTATGAATTGGATTATTGATCCGTGTAGACGGATACAATTTTACTTTTATAAATAAAATGTGGTGATTTTTTTTTTATTTAAAAGAAAAAAAAACTCCTTATCATTATTATGTAAGAAATATTTTTATTAAAAGGGAAATTTATTAACTGTAAATATATTAAAATTAACAAATCTATGTGTCATCATCATCATCGTCTTCAGAATTTTCTTCTTCAGCTTCTTCAAGCCATTTAACAAAAGGTGCGATCTAAAATTAGAACTTGTTAATACCTTAATTTATTTAAAAATCAATCTTATAATAATTAAATAATGTAAAATCGACAGTATACCGCATCACGTAATTTTGAATAAGCTTCGTGTTTTACAACGCCTCCTTTAGAACGTTCATCATAATACCATTCTAAAATTGCGTCTTCTTCAATTACATCTATTTCATATAATATTCGAAGCGAAGGAGCGAAAGTTTTGTTATGGATTTCCGACTTCGCACAACATTCCTTTAAAAGAAATTAATATAATTAGTTAAATTTCATAGCAAGAGTAAAGAAGTAATAAGATAACGTACCTGTAATATAAATAAAGCATCGATCTGATCAGCTTTAGAATGAACTAACTTCCCGATAAGTAATCCCCAACGAGATAATACCTAGTTTTTTACAAGTATTTAGTAACTAAATTAATAAACGACATTAGTTGGCTAAATAACGCGTCACTCACATCTTTGGTGCTAGGTAACAATTTATCGGTATTAATTTGGCCAAAGATGGTTGGTATTACTACAGTTCGTGTATCATGAAATGTAGTATTTGAAGCCATACGCAAAGTATTTAACTCTAAAGACGCTATTTCCACGGTATGACCTTCCGAAAATGCACGTTCGAGAGTTTGTGTAACCTCCTTTGAGAAAACTTCTAAAGTAGTTGGTCCATCGAAATCACTTTCTTCTTCAGAAGATCCATCACTTATCACAGATGCTGACGACTCATTGTCAGTGAGGGACAGGTTGGATATATCAAATGCTAGAAAAAGTATTATAGAAGATTATAGATATAATAAAACGCAAAAATAAAAGCGTCGTTCCTAATTGACTTACCTAGGGTTGCAACTTTAATATTCTTGGCCTCATCGTCATCGTCATCTACATCAGACATCTCATCATTCCATATATGTCCTCGTCCATTTGCTCCGATTAATTTAATATTATAAGCTGGAATTAGCGAATACAGTAAATGATGAATAAGTATACTTTTAATTTTATGATTAGACCTCAATTTAAATCTAGCTCACAAGCAGCTTTCTGATTCCCACTCTCATCTTCTTCACTTATATCACCATCATCATTTTCTGAAGTTTGTTTATGGCTAGTCAATTTCGTGTATGGGGGAAGGGTAATATTAGGTCCAATAATTACATCATAGGTGAGCAAACACCCTTTATTGACAATTACGTTCTCTTCTAATACAACATTATTCGTTAGAATCGATCGCGATATTGAACAATTTGCGTTGATGGTTACACCATCCCATATGTACGCTCCATCTATTGTAACATTTGGTCCTGAATAAGAATACCAAATAACTCGTTAAATAAATTCAAATAGAAAACGTCTTAATAAAAGAGATTTTGTATACCTATACTGACTCTACGACCTATAACCGAGTTAGTTATCTTAACATTTTCCGCAATCTCGGTACCAGCGCCAATTAAAACCTTTTCACCCAAGACGCAGGACCTAAAAGTAAATCATGTTTGTTAGTAAAAAATATATAATTCGACATTGAGTCACGTAATAGTATTCATGTTAACCTCGATAACGATACATCTTGTTCTTTATAAATTTGTCCACGCATATACTCATAACTATCACCTTCTTGTAAATTACTATCAGGTACTATAGGATAAGTCCAGCGAGACAAAATATCTTTACTATATATTTTTTTAAAAAAATAAAAGGTTAACCAAAAGAATTACAAATCGAAATAACTTTGATGACTTTCTTACCTAATCGCATCATAAGTTTGTAAACTACGAACCCTTGCAGCATACGCGTCTTTCACCATATGACAATATATTGTCTTACCCAAAAGGTCTGATGTCAAAATACCATAAACAAAATCCTTTCGGATATCTTGATAATCAAAATTTTCGGTGAATAAAGCTGGGACCTATCATCAATAAATATTCAAATCCCTTATTTATTTTTAGGAAATTTAATAGAAAATTATCATTTTTTTTATTTTTTTTTTTTTATTTACCTCGACGGAACAAATATCTATTTGACAATCGATTAAATCATTCCGTATTTGTACATCGGAATGCTTTTCAAATACTTGCATGTCCATAACCATACGCCTTTTGCGCGGATATAATTCCACAGACTCATAATGAACACATTCTTGGCTTTTCCCATCAAGGACGAAAATTGATGATTCTCCTAAAGCTCTTATGAAATATAATGTAATATTCAATTAGATTAGGAACGAAATCATTATATATTTGATACATAAATAAAATATTACCTAGATCTGTGAAAAGGACTAGCTTCTTTTACAACCTAAATCAATCACGTGTATAAAGTAATAATGATTAATGTTATGTCAAAATAACATTATAATACTTATAATACTACTACAAGTTAAGAATTCAATACCATTGTCATGATTGCATTTTTGTCAGTATTTTTTCGAGCTCTTTTAATGAAATATATCAAATATGTTAATATAGAAAATTCATGATTATTCTTTATACTCTACATCGCGGAAGAAAACTTATTTCACCTATGTGCATCCAAAACCTGTTTTAAATGAATGTTTGAAACAACATCACCACTTATAAGAATAAAATCTGAATTGATCAATTGTTTCGAGTCTAATTCTCTTAGAGCATCACCAACCGAACGTGCTTCAGGTGTTACAATCGTGATTATTTTAAATGGAGAATATGATCGATTCCATTTTGATGTCCTAATTGATGAAATCGAGTTAAATTGACATAATTTATCAAAAAGTTGAGCTCATATTGCCAATTATACCTACTTTACATAATTTTTAACCTTTTCTGAATGTTCTCTACAAAATAGATAAACTTCTTGCACACCAGCGACTGCAAGAAATTCTAATGTATATTCAATTAAGGGAGTGTTACAAAGAGGTAACAGGCACTACATTAATGATAGATTGTTAGCTGCCGAGACTTATTGAAATATCCATGAAAAAAACAAAAACATACTCGAGGCATATCAAGAGTTATAGGATTAAACCGTTCATTAAAGCTGTCTGCAAGAACTACTGCTTGCAATACAGTTTCAGCCTCTATATTTTTTCCGGTACTTTTTGGCGCCATCACCTTTATTCAAAACGAAGAATTATCGAATTTTCTTCTAATCTTAACTAAACGATTCAAGAAATCAAGCCACAAAGAATCTCCGCAGCAATTATTGGTGATGCGCCACAATTATTCCAATAAAATATGCCTATTGGAAAAAAAAAAAGAAAAAAAAAAATGGAAGAATATTATCCGATAACGAGTAAGTTAACATCGTAAATGCATAAATAAGATTATCTATCCAACTTATTTTAATGATGTTCTATTTTTATTTTAGGAAATATTATTGGTTTTATCTTAGGTAAACTGAAAATTTTATCATTAAATGTTTCTTTGTACTTTAACTAATATATTCTTTTCTAAATTTTTGAAGTGGCACTATGCTGGGGATTTACAAATCCTTTTATTAAACTTGGAAGTAAAGGATTAGAGAAAATTAAACGAGATAATTGGATTGAACAAACAGCGTGGGAAATTGAATTTCTTGTTACAAGGTGGCAGGTACAGTCCATTTCTTAATAATTGGCTGGATGCTTGAATACATAATTTACATGAATCGCTAATATACTCGAAATAAAATTATAGTTTATGTTACCTTTGATTTTAAATATAAGTGGATCTCTGATTTATTATCATACACTTGGTCAATCAGGTATAAGTATAATTTACAAGATTTGCGTTTTATTTTACATTTGAATTAATTTTAGGTTTGAATATTTTGATTATATAGATCTTTCACTAGCAGTTCCTATTACCAATTCATTGACATTTATATTTACAACTTTAGCAGCTAGTTTACTCGGCGAAGAAATTGGATCCAAGAGTAAGTTTAAAATTGTATGTTTTGAGAATTACGAAATTGACTAATAAATATTTACATATATTTGGTGATTTCTAAGAAACTTGGATTGGAATTGCATTTGTTGTAATTGGAGTAGGGCTATGTGTTGGTAGTAAAGTTCAGTAACTTTTCTGTGCAGACCTTTAGGATATTTAGAAGTTATTGTTGAATATGCAATAATGAAAAGAAAAAAAATTGTGGCTTGTATTCACAGAAGGATTTCTTTTTTTTGTAAATGAATGATTTGATTTTTTTATGAAATTATTTCGTTTTTTTATACAAACTTTGATGATTTATAACATATATGGATGATAAAAGTTCAGTTGCTAAATTTCAATTGATTAATATTTATATATAATACTAGCATAAACAGTACATCAAAAAAATAATAGATTAATAATGTTTCTAATTTACAATTTTTAAGCAAAGAAATACATATTAAAAAAAAAAGTTAGTAAAGAAATTATTTATTTATATAAAAGTTTTTTTTATAAATAAAACCAATTTGTACATATTTAAAATATTTATAAAATTAACTTATAATTTTGAATTTTTTAAACTAATATATAATAATAAAATAATATTATAATAAAAAAAAAAAAAAAAAAAAGTGTTTTATCAATTTGATAAAAGAATATATTTTAATTAAAATAATATATTAATATTAATTTTAAAAAAAATTTAATATATTATTATATTTTTATTTAAATTATTTTAATCTTATAATAATATAACTATATAATAAAAAAGAAAAATAACTTTTTTCTCTAATTTTTTTTTCAAATATCTCTAATAATCTAAAGAAAAAAATAATTATGAAAATACTTAAACTTTATAACAAAAATGCTTCATTTTTTAATGATACCATTCAAAAACTTAAATAATAAAAATATATCCAAAAGTAAGATTACTTGTTTAAACTTATTTCAGATTTGACAAAATGTTTAAACTTTAGTTTTATAAATTATTTACTAAGGTTTTAATATAATTTCACATTTTATAAACTTTAATATATAATGCAGAACCTCTATAATAGGAATTTTGCTATAGTAAAAATAGAATAAATTTAAAATGTAAAAAAAAATTTATTATATATCACTAGTCGAAATCAAAAAAATCAGATATGCGAAAAATCGGTCTAAATTCAGCCTAAATTCGGCAAATTATCAAAAAATTGGCCTAGCCGATTGGCATACACTAGAAATCGGCCAAGAATTAGCTGAAATTCGACCTATCTTATTTATAGCTGATTGGCATACTTATTGCCGATTAGCATATGTCAAAAATCAGCTAAAATTTGACTTATCTTATTTATAGCCGATTGACGTCCGATTTACATCCGATTGATATACATCAAAAATCAGCTGAAATTCGACCTATCTTATTTATAGCCGATTGACATACTTATTGCCGATTGGAATACATCAAAAATCAGCTAAAATTTGACCTATCTTATTTATAACTAATTGACGTCCAATTTACATCTGATTGATATACATCAAAAATAGATTTCAAAATAAAATAAAATTCAGAAGGAAATAT